TTTTTTTAAAGCAGATACATATGATAAAGAAGTTATATATCAAATTTGGTGGTGGTTGCTACACAGCAAGGGTATCAAACGAGGGTGTGAAGACATTCGATCATAAAATTTTATTATGTAAATTCGAATTTTACTATGATGCAGATCATCCAAATTTTACTATGTTTTACAACCTCCTATAGATCGGCGGAAAATGTCATGCGACTAATAGATCCGTTGAAACGAGGTTTGACTGTATCCTGTTGATCACTAATTAAATCAATCAACCTTTTTAACTCGCGAAAAAATATATATAGATAATTAATGCGTTTTGAATGATCAGTGCCGAGAAAAAATATATAATTAATTGTAATACAATATTTAATTTCGATTGAATGTTTTTGATTATTATAATAATAATCATAAAAATAATACGGTTTTCCCGCTTTGATAAAACATTAGTACTAATTTAAGTAAGCATCTCGACATTTAATTTTTCATATAATAATTACTATTACGAGTTAAACTTAAAAAAATTTAAAAATATCAATGATGTCGAGAATGTTAGCACTCTTACTATATGATCTTGACGAATGATTGCTTGATTTTGACCATTAAATATTAACTGTTAAAAGAAAAGAAAAAGAAAAAGAAAAGCCACACTAATTACTAATAATATTTAATTAACGGATGATTTTTTATCAAATAAATTTTAATATAAATAGAGACATTAATAAAATTTTATTTTGTATCCCAAAAAAAAAAAATTTTTTTTAAAAAGCAAGCGTTTCATATTTTAACAAAAAAAAAAAAAATTATTTTTTAATAAAAATGAAGTTCAATCAACAATTGGTGATTCTTTTCGTTATTTTCTCGGTCTTTGCAACATTTGCTTGTGCTCAGTAAGTAAAGAAACTTATATTGTTCTCACTTATTAATCAATTAATCTGACGATTTTACTCGTTAATTTAATCAATCTCGTCATCCTCGCCTCTCTTTACCTTTATTCAAATATTTATCTTTACCATTATTCAATTCTTCTTTATTTTTTTTAGGATTCCAGCTCGTTCCACGGTAATGATTTTTTACAATATATTACATTTATAAATTGTGCGCTTTACCATTTTTTTGGTTACTAATTTGATCTTTCTATATAATTATTAATATTTAAATTCTTCCAGGTAACAGCACCTGAAATAGCACAATCAACAGGAGCATCATCGTCATCACCAGCGGCAACACAACAAGCACCTGGAACAGATACGTTAGTAATCCTTTGTTATTATTATTATTATTATTATTATTATTATTATTATTATTATTATTACTTTTTATAAGAAAAAAAAGCTTTAATTTTTTTATAACTAATAATTTATATGTTGTTATACAGTCAATCGACGTCACCATCAACAATACCAACTAATAGTAGTGCCTCATCTACTAATAAACAAGTTGGATTTGTTATGATTGTTGTCAGTTTCATTAGTATTAACGCTTTATTATTTTTCTAAAAATATCATTAAAAAAATATTGGCAAAATTGATAATAATTAATACATACATACATACATACATACACATTTTCAATTTAATATTTAATTAATATTTAATTATAATTTATGATTTCTCTTTAGTTGTTAATAAATAAATAAACATTAATTTTTCGTGATTAACTAATTAGACATTCATTGAAAGAAAAATCCAAGTTGAGCAATTAAATCTTGACTTTGATCAGCAACTTCACCACCATTAACAATGCTATCAGCAGTAATGACATCATCGTTAGCAACAGCAACTTCAGCAATTACACTGCCACCATCAACGCCACCACCATCAGTGATATTATTGTTATTTAATAAAAATGACGAAAAATCAAAGTTACTTTGATCATTTAGAATATTTTCAACAGTTTCTTCTGACATTGATACTAATGATCCTGGGAATTCTTTAAATAATTCGGCAAATTCGGCAAATTCTGAAAAATCTTGCAAAATATTTGTGTTCATGGTTGTTGTTGGATCGTTTAGTAATAATAAATCATTTAATTCCATGTCATTTATCTCCGCCGGAGCTATTATGAATGATGATTGAGCTTCCATTTGTGCAGTTTCTGGCAATAATGTTATTTCATTACTTGTCATTATTGGTGTTGTAGAAGCTGATACTGGTGAATCAGCAACATTGTACAAACCATTTCCATTATCCTGATTATTATCATTGTTGTTGTTATTATAATTATCATTATCATTATCATTACCATTAGTTGTAATTAATTGAAGGGATGAATCATCATTATTATAATCATCATTATCATTACCATTAGTTGTAGTTAATTGAAGAGATGGATCATCATTATTATAATTATCATTATTTATCTCACTAAAAAATCCTTCGATATCTTTATCAAATGGATAAGAGCACTAGGGAATAATAATTCATTAATAATAAATAAATAAAATAAATAAATATTATTCTTCCTCATTCTCATTATTATTAATCATCATCATCATTATTACTTACCTCAAGGTTCTCACATATTAAAAGTCTTAAATTAAGATTAATATCAAAAAATGATGTCCTAGAAAAACATAATGGACAACAATTATCATTCATTTCCTGTGACATTTTTCTCTTTACTCTTTTTTCTTTTTATTAAGGGAGAAAATAACAAAATCAATTTTAATCATTTTTTGATTAATAATAATAAAACTTCTTAATAAATACGTGTAACACTGATTTATCAGCCAATCAATTTTCATACACTTAATTTTGTATATTCATACAATGTATGGATTGATCCACTTGACTGATTTGGAATATTTATTTTTAAAACTTGATTTTTTTTATCTTCAAAAAAACATTTTTTGTACTTATTTAGTTCAATTAAATGATAAATACGAACCTAGATCAACTCCAAGGAGTCTGATACTAATACTAATTAATGTTTAATCCCGACAAAGAACAAAGATGCGCGCGGTGGAATACAAGTGTTTACTATCAATTTGAACATGACGTTTTATTAAAGGATTACTATTATTATTGAGCGGATATATGTTACAAGAGTAACGAGTAATTTTTAAAAAATCTGTGAAAACCCTTGCAGCTTATATTATGCATAATAACGCTAATACATTTTTGGAATATAAGGTGTTATTAAACATCCACGTTGATAAATTTGTTGTTGTTTGTTATTATTATTATTATTATTATTTACTATTATTATGATTATTCCGTCATAACAAGATCCCTAATTCTTTAATTATTAATCGGATTAATCGGATTAATCGGATTTAGTTGTATTAGCATGCTCGAACAAACATATTAAACATATTATTATAGAACAAAGAAATTTCTATTACACTATATACAATAATTACAATAAACTACAATAAATTACAACAAACCATCCTGTCCTATTATTATTATTTTTTTAGAAATTACACTCTTCATTTGCTTTACCTGGTGGTAGCCTATTCCATTAAATAAGCAATTTTGGGCATATGCATACGTGGGAGTTTGTTGTGTTTCCAATATAAATATTGGATTTTTTTGGATAGACGATCACCCCGCCCCTTAAAGTGATGAAACTTTTCTTCCAATATTAGAAGGAAATATACATATATCTATTAACATTAACATGTCATGTTATTTGTTTGCATCCGTAAAAAAAAACAAATTACATAATTACTTTAATTAATTGGTTCGAACTTTTTTATTAATTTTTTTTTTTTTTTTTCAAAAGGAATAATTTACCAATAACGAATTAATTAAAATTTTTATTAATAATAAATAGCTCTTTACGATTATGTTTGCAATCGTGAGAAGGCGAAAGGAATTGGAAAAACTAATTAAAATAATTATTTTGGGTAAAAATCAATAAAACTTTTTTAATTTATTTTTGACATTGTTCATCTTATTATTATGCTTAAATTATTATTTTGATTGTTTATTAATCAAATGTCAAGTGTATTCAACAAAAATGTAATTTGTTAACAATATCTTCCTGAGGAAATTAGGCTTTTACCAATTTTACCAAATTATTTTAAGTGCATATCTATTTATTTAATTATGACAACTTTAAAGTAGAAGAAGAGAATAAAAGAATTGTAATTAACATCAAGTATATGGGAAGATTTACATGCAAAACAAATAACGTAATTCTTTTTTTCAGAAATATATAAATTTGTGTGAATTTTATTTGATTTTTTTTTTACAAAAAAAAAATTTAGTCGGATAAGACACTGGATATATATATTATCAGACAAATATATAAAGATATATATATATATATATATATACACATATATATACAAGATATATCCATTTATATATATAATCTATTTCAACAAATAAACACGCGACTTACAAATATTGCACTACACGTTCGGTGTAAATAATTCTACTTCCTTTACTAAATAAAACAAAAAAATATTTTTTCTTTAATAATTTTTGCACATTGACTATGAAATGCATTTGATCACTTTTAATCTTAAAATTTATTTAATAATTACAATAATCTTTATAATAATATTCCACGCCTCTAAGATTTATTCATTTCCATCGCCTTCATCATCATCATCATCATCGCCCGCTTCCTCTTCAACTCCTTCATCTTCATCTTCATCTTCTTTGATATTAAAGAAAAGAATAATTACATCGGCTTATTATCATGTCTCATTGCCAACTACTTCCTCGTTATCAAACGACGATGAAAATAACACTGCAATAGATCATTATCAGCAATTCGACGATTCAACTCGTATCGTTGATATAACGGCCTTGACTTTTGGCCACGTCAATTTATTTTGTTGTTTTCTTGTGGTTTGTATATTTGATTATTTTTAATTATTTATGTTATATTATTTATAAATAATAACAATAATGTTATTTATTCAACAATCGATTAATGTACAGATATGTTTAGCAACCAAAAGAAAGTGTAAACACCCTTCAATTTCTAACCGTATACCTATTTACCTAAGCATTTCTGACATCTTTCAATGTAGGTGACTTTAAATATTTGTTTGTTTATTAACAAGATTTATTTTGATAATTAGTAGTAATTTTATTTTTATTTGTCATATTGCCGTCTTTATTATTAGATTGTGTTTTTATGCCAAATTTTTTTAATTCGTATTTTAGTAATTCGATAATACCCAATTTACCTTGTAAAATTCTTGCCTATCTATTATTTCTTTATATAAACGCTAACGTGTTACTGATAACCAGTATTGCCATAATCACTTATCTGGTTAGTATTAATAAATAATCTTATAAATAATCTTAAAAGGCACTTTATAAAATAGAAATAATCGATTTTCTATTTATTAATCGACATTATTAGCGAGTGATAAAATTTAAAACTTTTAAGCTTGGCTCCTATGATTGGTAAGAATAATAATGCTTATTATTAATATTTACGGCAAATTAATCACATTAATAATAATAATAATCATGATATTGCAGGAAATTATTTCTGGCGATAATCATAACTTCAATTACACTAACATTGCCGTCGATTCCTTCTCTCGGCCAATCAAGATATTGGTGTCTGACGATTCCGGATCCAAACTATATTTTCATCGAAGCATGTCTAACGTTCAGCTCATCATTAATAATATCATGTTATTGCTACTACAAAACTCTGAGGACAATATTTAAAGTTAATCGTGAAGAAATGGTAGATTCGGTGGAAAGAATAAGTCGATGGAATAGATTGGAGAAACAAGCAGTACGAAAAATTTTTATTTACATCTTGAACTTTGTGAAATGGTTGCCGATCGTGCCATTTGGAATTGATACTATGGCGAAATACGAAGGTGATGTTTGGATACATGTCATCATTATCGTTGGTAAAATTAATTATTTAATTGTATGAATATTGAGGCTTATGAAAATCGATTTAGTTTACTTACTTGCTTTGCTTATTTACCATTTCATTTATTATCACTTCGTGGCTTTTCCCCTACTTTTTCTAAAAATAGCTTTTAACTTGGGAGGATTCCTTAATTGTATATTATATTTGATGAATCAAGATTTTTTACGTGATTTAAAATCAGAACCATTTGTCTCGCTAGAAAATTTTAGTAATAATAATAACTCTGAATGTCAATCACAACCAAAAAAACATCAAAGTAGTGATGACGACAATAGCGACAATGTCCTGGGACAGGAAAGTAAAGAAGAGCAGGAAAAATTGCAAGAACAAACTTCTCCAACCACATCGCCGTCGCCATCTTCAAATACCTTGAATAGATGTGATGTTGATGAAATAACGGTCGTTGATATTCAACAAACTACAATAAAGGTTCAAGACAATGAAGATAAAATTAAAGATGAATGTGAATGCGAACTTCAAGTTAAAAAGATGATGATTTTAGATTTTTAATTAATTCAACAACAATTATAACAATTATCGGCTGCTCTGTTCAATTACAATTAATCAAACCTGTTTACAACAAGATAGTATTATAAATTGTAGTTTTAAAGAGGATAAATAATACCAATATATTTTTAATAAACCAATTTCAAGATGTTTGTTATGAATTGTTTAACAAAAATTAAAGAAATCAAGAAATAGGCGAGGTCGAGGATGACGAAAATGGTTAGAGTAGTTTCGTCGTAAGAAAGAAGAGTCAGAAGATGAAAATTGGAATATTAACAAGATTAGTAATAATAGTAATAGTCAACAGCATCATCATCATCAATATTAATTTTATTGATGAAAAAGACGAGTTTTTGTAAATATATCTTGAAACAACAAGGGTTCGTGATTTTAAACCATTCGTTTTTATTAATAACATATCAGACAAATCTGTAACTTCAAACTATATAAATTAATTAAAATTAAATTCCAGATGAAAACTATCAAAAAATAATAATAATAATAATAATACCAATTAAAACCACCTTCAAATAAATCAGCATCGCCATTTGCATTCATCATTGTGCACATCCTCTGCGGCTAGAGAGGACTGATGGTCATAATTACGTGATTGGTTTGGTTGGTCAGCATTAAAAAATTGTATTTTTATTTTCCAACAACAATAATTTGTAAAAAATAATTGTATATAAATAAATTAAATAAATAAATAAACAAACAAACTTGTCAGATAATAATGTCGATCATGTTTAAATATATATATTATATATGCAACCCTTTATTATTATATTCTAAATAAAGTTAAAGTTTATTTTACACGAAACACAAAAAATTTAACGTTTTTTTAACGTTAAAACATTTCATAGTTTTTTATCTCCATTTGGGTAATTAAAAATAAAAATGCAATCAAACACAAATGGTAGAATATCATTTTTAGGCAGCGTTGCGTTACTAGTATCATCGATGACAGGTCCTGGACTTGTAACAAGTAATTGCATTAACGTTGTTATGAGATTCTTATTGAAAACTCAATAATATTAATAATACTAATTTCTAATTTTTTTTTTGCAAGTTCCGTTATTATTCCAGACAGCAGGATGGTTGATGTAAAGTAAAATATTAATAATTATGATTTATCGTATTATACGTAACAATACTATTCAATCCTAAAATTATTTCATTATACTAGACCAATGATTTGTGTTGCAATAGTAATAATGTTGAGTGCGACGGCTTCTTTGTTTTTATGTGAAGCTTTGAGCGCAATTCCAGGCAACAACAATTTTCAGGTAAAGAATGAGAAACATCAATCAATAATCGTATCATTGCGTATTTAATTTATCGAAACCTCCAATAATTTTAATTCTTTTTCTTTAGAAAAAGATTGAATTTTCAAGTTTATCGACATTATTGATCTCCAATAAATATAAATGTTTAATGACGCAATGCATCTTATTTATATCAATCCAATCGATTAATATAGCATGTATAATATTATCGGCACAAACAATGGATTCTTTAATGATTTCATTGCTCGGTAAAACTTGTGGAATTGGAATTTATCCAGATTCGGGGGTTTTCTGTGTTTATAAACAATTACCAGACGGAAGTCCATTTGGTGATAAAACCATGCTGGTTACATTTGGTTATTTGGTAGGATTTTGCAAATTATAATTGGGAGTTGAGAACCTTGAGAATTTAATTAAGGATTTTTTTTTTATCAAGTTATATATATATTATTTATTTATTTGTTTATTTATTTATTTAGATTGCATTGTGCATAGTTATGCCATTAGGACTTATGGATCTTGTTGATAATGTTAGAATTCAAATTGGTAAATTATTTAAAATTTTCTCGGTCACTTTATAAATATAAACCAATACCACTAATTAGTAGTATGATTGGAATTACTAATTATTATATTATATTTTTATTCAGTTTCATTTATAGTGTTAATATTTATAGTAATGTCTTGGATAATTACATTTTGTTTTCATGGATTAAATAAAGAATTTGTTCCAATAATTGGTGACGATATAAGCCAAGTGGTTGGAACAATTTTGTTAAATTATTCGTTCATAATTACAATTCCAAGTTGGATAAATGATTTGGTAAGCTTACTTATTGGCATTTGATTGATTGGAGTTTATTATACTTATTTTTCCTTCCAATTAATCAATTTCTCACTCTCTCAAAAAAATTATAATTAGAATCCAAATGTCTCAATTAGAAAATCAATATTTTATTCAATTATAATATCAACGGTTATTTATTTATTGTTGGGAATATTTGGTGGAATGTCATATAAAATGGATTTATCATCAAATATTATTTCGATAATTAATGATTCAAATGAAAGATCAATTATTAGTCTAATTACAACATATTTATTTCCATTGGCTATACTAATCACCAGCATACCAGTTTATACCATTATTATCAAATACAATCTAATCAGAAATAGTTATTGCGGAAAAAGTATTTTGATTTTGATTAATTAATTAATTATATAATATAATATAATATAATATAATATAATATATAAATATATAACTTAATAACATATTGTTTTTTAATATTATAATTATTAATACAGATTTGGCAAATATATTATCAAGTGCGTTACCATGGATAATAATTATACCGTTTCAGACTGGATATTGGTTAAATGTTTTTATGAATTGGACAACATTGATATTTACAAGTATTTGTAATTTCATTATACCATTTTATTTATATTATAGAAGTCAACAAAATAATTCATTTATGAGAATTCAAGATTATGATGATGTTGTTGACGTTAACGTTGATAATGATGTTGATGATAAACATTATTTAAATGGGAAAAAGAACTTATCAAATCAAAAAAAGGATGAAAAAGATGATTATGATGATGATGGTGATGATGACAATGAAATTGAAAATGGTTATTATAATAAGGAATATAATATGAAAGATATTTCAATAATATCTGAAAATCAAAAAAATTGGAATTCACCATTTAAAATATCATCTTTGCCGCCTTCTTCTGATTCAATTGTGACTGATTCAGCTCCGACAGTATTATTAATACATAAAAGCAAATCGTCATCATCATTCGATTCTTGCCGTCTAATTAATAGTAATAATGATAACTCACTACTAAGAACAAGTTATGATCGTTATGATTATAGAAGAAAAGAAGATAATAAAGATCCTCGTGAAAATGAAGGCAATAATAGTGAAGGCATTGGCGGTAGTGGTGACGACAGTGAATTAACTTTATCTTCTTACCGACAACATAATCAATATGATAATTATCTACAGCCGAAAAAAAATTTATTAAAAATAAATACAAACGTTCATCATTACAATAATAACAATAGCCATAATAACAAAAGTGACGATAACATTAATGATAATAATAATATTTCAAATATCTATCTTCTTCCTAATAGCACAAAACAAAATTTATCTCCTCATTATTCAAGTTTAAATAGAAGAAAATCACCATCAAGATCACCCACTTCTACTACTTCATCAACTCTAGTAATTGCTAGTCCAATTAAAAATGATTCTACTAATGACTTGGAGATTCTCAATAACAATCATGATGTCGATAGTACCAATAATAATATTAGTAGTAGTAATAGTATTTATGATAATTTAAATTCGCCAATATCTTTAAATAATTTATTAAACAACAACAACAATAACAACAACAACAACATTATTATTTACAATAATAAAAATATTAACAACAATTTCGTAGCATTTCCGAACTTATCAAAGAATACCAATATTTTAATTTCAATTGTGTTTAGTATGATAAGTGTATGTTTAATTAGCAGTGTATTCCTATATGATTTTATATTATTAGGCTTAGGAAAGAACGTTTTTGATTTGAACAACGATACTTAAAAAGAAATTATTGATTTTTATAAATAATAATAAATATAGAGCAAAAAGTTTTTTAGAATATAAATTACAATAATAAATAAATTATTTTCTAATTATAATAATAAATAAATTGTTAAGAATTAATCAACCCAGCTTTCTTGAAATGTTCCTCTAATAATGAGTTGTATCTTTCAGGTAGTTCGCATGGTATATAATGTCCAGAGCCTTGATTATTAAATGATTAATTTATTAATTGGTGATTTTAATGATTATATATTATTAACAAATTGATTAATTGACTTACCTTCAAAATATTCAAAATCTGCATTTAGTTGTTCAGCCAGATAGAAACTATTTGACGGTCTAACAAGATTATCCCAACTTCCAGTCACCACTAAAATCTAATTTTTTTAAAGAAATTACTATATAATGACTGTTTAAAAACTTAAAAATCATCATCAATTGTAATAATAAAATAAAAAATTTACTTGTGGAATTTTATCTCGAATGATTTGAAGACGTTCAGAAGAAACATAATGTCTTAAACATGCTATTATAATGTGATCAGAAATATACATATTAATATTTGGGTTGTTTTATCAGAAACCTGTAAAGTTAGAAAATTAGAAAAAAACCTGAAATTTGCCCAATTGCACCTAAAATATTCGAAAAGATTATTACATTAATAAAATTTAAATGGGTCGAATCGAAATGGATTGATTAATTAATTAATTTACCTCTAACAGGTTGAATTCTAGTGTTATTAATACGTCGAATAAGTGACTAATAATAAATAAATAAATTTTATTATTATTTTTTATTATAATAAGACTTTCTTAATAAATATATTTAACTATAATTACTTCAATCACATGATCTCTATTTGTATTATGAGATGATTCGATCGATGGTGGAGATTTCAACCAATTCTGTTTAGTAAAGTAAAAAAAAAAATTTTATATAAATATTTTATTTGAATAGAGAACAACTTATTATTTTTATATAAATTTCTTACCTCAGGAAACAATACATCAACGGCTAGTTGAGATTTAGCAATAGGATTTTTTATCGCCATTAATTTCATAAACATAAGCATACCATTGATCTGACAATAATAGCAAAAATAGTAAATATTTAACTGAATGATGATGATAACACTTAACTATAAAAACACATATAATTGTCATCATTTTGACATACCGGTGGTATCGTTAATCCTGGAGTACTTGATGTAAGACATAAAGATTTGAAGTAATGAGGTTTGAGTAATACTAATTCCTGAGAAATCATACCACCCATGGAAACACCAACCAAATTAACATCACTAGTCCATTCAATCTTATTTAATAATTCAACCACGTCATATGCCATTTGCTTGATACTATATTTTTATTTTATTATTAGATTTTGAATTATATATATATAAAATTATAAATTATATAAATTAAATGTATACATATATATATATATATATATATATATATATATATATATATATGAGAGACAAAGAAAACTAGTTGATTCGTTTACCTATAAAGTCCAGTTGGTGCATCTTGTTTATTAATCGTAAAAAAGTTGAATGATACGAAGTACATTGAAGAAATTGAGAATTAGATATCTTTATCATTATCAGTATCAATGTAATATTACTAATTCTTGTTACCTGACCATCCAACACCACGATTATCAAAAACACATATTTGATAATCTTTATGATTTCCAAAATAATTTATCTATTTATAAACGATGATTTAATTAATCAGATATCAATTAATCAAATTCTAATAATAATCATTATACTTGATATTCCCAAGAACCCGACGTTGCATTTAATCCTATTCATAATCAAGTGAATGTATATGATTAGCAAAGAAACCATAATCGTTTACGTCAATCGTCAATCAATCAATCAATCAAATAAGTTTTTTACCCATTACAAATAATATCTTGTTTGGTCCATTTCCATGAATCTCATAATAAATTTTTATTGAATCTTTTACATTACCAGCACCAGTACTAACATCATCATTAGTTACACTATTTGCAAAACCTACTTCAGCAAAATCTTTTTTAACCAAAGTATTTGTCATATTTTTTTGTTAAATAATGTATATAACAGAATAGAAAGGGAGAAATTATTAAAACTATTATTACACGTGACAAACTATGAGATACCAAACACGCGGCTGCAACCCCATAGTTGCGTCATATAAAAATGGTCGCAGTGATCAGTTTTTTTAATTGCAGCAGTATCATTAACAATAACTCATTATTCAAACGATGTTAAAAGTCTCAATGAAATGAAAGGCCCAAATTTTAGATTAAAAAAAATCAAAAGAAAGTAAGTAATCAAACATTTGAAATGGTGTTTGAAGAGAAGAAACCGGAACGTTAGGAAATTGGAAGTCAGTGATGTGGAGTGATGAATCTCGTTCTACAATATTCCATGTTTGGCGAAGGGGTGGGCGACGTTATGATATTGAAATCTTGTCCTATCGGTGAAATATGGTAAGGGACAATAGTTTAAGGATGTTTTTCTGGTAAAGAGCTGAGACCTTTAGTTAGTGTGGGGGGATGAATCATTAGAATTTTGCATCACGATCATCTGACCTCAAAAATACTTCGGAACTGGAAAGGGAAATATGCGGGCACAAATTCCATTAGAAAGGTAAAAACATATTTCTAACAGTGGATATCCAATTAGAAACTAAATTTTATTATTTGTATTTTTTTTTTGATTTTTAAATTTCTATATATTGATTTAGATAAATAAAGGCTACATTATAAAATACTCTTCAAGACCTAAGCAACATAATGATATAAAATTTATGTAGGTTTTTACGAATATGTTGCATGATTGTCTAGGTAGTGTATGTAAATAAAAAAAAGTTATTATTTATTATCAAGAGAAGAATATAGAGTAGTAGCCTTTAAAATATAATAATAAAATATTCGCATTGGCTATGATTACATATAAACTTATTATTATTATTACTAAAAGTGGTAAAATATAATAATATTGATTATTGTATTTTTTATCAATTATTTGGAATACTTCTAATTCTTCATAGTTACTATAATTTACTAAATTAATGTAATTATAATTATTACTATAACAAGTAATAATACCCCCAGGTTGAAAATTAAGATCACCACCACCAAAAATAGCCAAATTTGAAGGATGACAGCGAATTGCATATTGATAATTATTGGCAACATAACTAAACTGTGCAGAATTAATATTATTTCTATTACTAATATTAAAAATAAAACTTTCAGTTGTATTTTTATGACCATATCCATTCCAATCAAGTGGATTATAGCCTCCTACTAATTGACCCGAATTTTGTATTTGGCCAACTATAAGAGTTTTATTGATATTATCACATTTTTGATGAAATGCAGCTGCATTTAAACCATCTCTGCTACTACGATATATAAGTTTGAATTCATATTTAATGTCCTTTAATGAACTATACCGTGGACTTTTTCTATCAATCCAACTTGCAAAAAGTAAAGTAAGCTTTTGATTGATTGTTGATGATTCAAGTACTGGTTTGATTCTTGGTGGCAATAATTTTAAAACACGCTGTTGTGTATCAGGAGCTAAATAATAAAGTAAAAGATTATTCCAAACTGGCTCTGGGAAAAGCTTGTGATATGGAGTAATTTTAAAACCAAAATCCTCTTTAGAAATGTCTTGGAATCTTATTAAGGGAATAAATTCTTTTAATGTGTTACCCATATCAACAAAATTTTGTGGTGACCAATTTTTAACTTTGCTGTTATTGATTTCTGGATGTCTTGCCAATCCCCATTTAAGAATATTTTCCCAAACAACTATTTCATCAATGTAAAAATCATCCCTTTTAAGAATTTCCAATAAAGTTGATTTTTCAAATAATTTAAATTCACTTGACTGAAATAATTCTTCACTAAACTCACAAATTTTTTTTAGAAAGATGTTTTTCAATTCAATAAATTGATTGTTGGAATAAATGGATTGTAAAATTTTAACTGGATTTTCTTTTATATAATCCTCATATTTTTCAATAAAGAAGTTCATTGTATAATTGTAGAATGACTCAAGACCTAGTTTATTAGCTGTAATTAATATTTGCAAAATATCAACTCCAGAATAATTATCTAACTCTATTTTACATGTGTACAAAAATCTTTCAAAAAAATAAATATTATTATAAATTAACTTAATATAATAAATATAATAAATAATAATTTCATCTAAACTTACTTGAGAATAGGGTCAAAAAGTTTTTCACTAATATTTGCTTTTTCAATAATATAGTATCCATTTTCTTTTGTTGCATCATTTAATGCATTGCTAAAAAATGGACAATGAGCAGATATGATGGATGCATGTGCATGAACTTCTTTAATGTTTGGTTCTACACCAAGATATATTTTTACATCATAAAATTCTTCTGTATTTAATAACCTTTCATTTTCATTGAAATATTTTTCCAAAATTATTGAATCCATTTAAAATAACAAAAATAATAACAATAATAATAATAATGTAACACAGCTGCTAAAATGGGATGATGATAATGTATTGAATTTTTTACAAAATTAATTTTAATGAAATAAAATTACTTCAATTTCTTCATATACTTTGTAAATGAAATTATGTATATTATCATTCATCTACTCAAGAAAGAATTTTATTTTTGTGCAAGTTCTGCGTTGGTCATTTTTTATTCTGAAATGTAGTACCAGTAATATCCTTTAATTGATTACTTAATTCAAATTCTCCACAAAGATTTCCAAAATTAGGTTTTATAACCATTGGATTGAGAAAATCATTTTTTTTAAAAAGCTCAGAAGTTATCACATGCTGGAAATAAATCAGGACGAGTTCTTATAGTGTTCGTTAATTCATCATTATATCCAATTACCCTATACTCCCATGAATAAGCAACTCGAAAAACCAATAATTGCTTATTGTTATTATTCACCAACTAATCTGTTCTATTGGCTTTATTGGTTGCTTATTCACAGTCAAATTTATTTACAGAGAAATATATAAAATCTGTAATTATTAATCTTTTTTTATGATAAATAATTTGTTCTCTTTATATCGCCAGTAAAAAAATTGTTGTAGTATAATTGGCTCAGAATACTTCACTTGAAAATGCAGAGGAATAAGATTGTCGACGGGTAAAAACATTGAGAATGTGTATTTCTTATTACGAAGTCACTGCTTTTGGGTTGAAGAAGGGGAGTTGCTATTTAAGGAGACTATTTATTCATGACAGTACTAAAGGAATTTGATGCATCTATTTTGTTTTAAAATTTCATGCAGCTGTTTTACGCTTCTTCTAGAATTGCATCTATTCTTTGATGCTGATTATCTTGATATTACACAATCATTTTTTATCAACTTGCATATTGTATATTTGGATAAAGCTGAAGCAATTGCAGGCCAAATAGGAGCAAATACTCTTTTTAACAATGATTATTACAAATATCTCGATTTACTAAGGATTCTTTACATTATTCGCGACTGCAGCATATTTATTACTGACAGGTTGATAGGTTAGGCATATTTAAAGATTAATATTAAATTAGCAATTATGGATGATTTTCACAGGAAAATGCTAATGGGATCCTTTATTAATTTTTATTAAAATTAATACAAATTTAATTAAACTGAGTTTAAACACAAATTTGATTTAATATTTTTTAATATCCACTCGAAACACCGTATGCTCAAGGATAAATATATATTACGATAAAAATATGAATTGCCAAAATGTAACGTTTATTTTATTGAATATAAATAAATAATGAATGCTAAAAAACAATATTGATATGATTGTTAACAGACTTGGAGCTAACCCGATTTAACTTGTATTTCGAATTTGGTTGCTCAAAAACCTGTTTTTTAAAAAAAAGTTCAATCTGCTTGAATTCTAAACCTGGATTGAGCCAAACCCAAGCTGAATTTAACATTCCTAGTACCAAATATGTTATATTGATAGATCCATTTTTTGAAGGAGACGTAAGAATTATTAATGGTAGCATTATGTTATGGCACGTAATAATAATTAGTCATTTAACTGTAGATCCGTTTTAAGAAAACAAATATTAATGTTGTGCGTGAATTTGGAATCTGCGTCAATTTGAAATTCACGCGCGTGAAATTCAAATTAGCCAATCAGAATTTTGTATTCAAACACCCACCCCAAAATTTAATTGGTAAATTTCAAATTGACACAAATTTGATTTTCACGCACAACATTAATACATACAATAAGAATTATTATTAATAATGATATTACCTGTTACCATTAGTAATATATATCAACTAGAATACCTTTGATGGTCGCATAATAATAATCCATTGTTCAACGATAGATCTGTTTAAAAATTGGTAATACCAACTAGAATATTTTTGATGGTCATTGTAGAAAACAAATAATACAATGCTATAAATACATGTACAATAAGAATAATTATTAATAATAGTATCATTAACCTACCTTTTCAAAAATTATTTTTCTTTATTGATCCAAAAAAGAAAACATATATAGTATTATGAATGTATTTTTTTTTCTGATACTAAGAGAAAAATTTGTATAAACAAAACTTCAATCAGAGATATATATTTTATTGATATTGATTTGGTTATAAATTCTGTACTAAAGGACACGTTTCAAGGGATCCATAAGCTCAAAACATTGCTATGATAATAATAAGTATTTATTGCTTAATAAAATATTATTAACTACATTGGATGGTCATTGTTTTTTTTATGAATAGTACATAAAAAAAAAACTATTGAGAGAAGAATATACATAAATAATCTTTAATTAAAAAAAATTTATTAGCTATATACTAAAAATAGTAAAATACAATAGTATTATTTATTTTTTGTCAATTATTTGAAATACTTCTAATTCATCATATTTACTACCATGTACTATATTAATGTTATTATAATTATTACTATTACAAGCAATACTACCCCCAGTTTGAAAATTAAGATCATAACCATTACCACCAAAAATAGCCAAACATGAAGAATGGCAGCAAATTGCATATTGATGATTACTAATAACATAACTAAACTGTGCAGAATTAATATTATTTCTATTACTAATGTTAAAAATAAAACTTTCAGTTGTATTTTTATATGAATAACTTCGACTATTTGAATTCCAATCAAGTGGGTTATAACCTCCTACTAATTGATCTGAATTTTGTATTTTGCCAATTACAAGAGTTTTATTGATATTGTCACATTTTTGATGAAAGGTAGCTACACTTAAACCATCTCTGCTACTACGATATATAAGTTTGAATTCATATTTGATGTCCTTTAATGAACTATATTGTGGACTTTTTCTATCAATCCAACTTGCAAAAAGTAAAATAAGATTTTGATTGATTGTCAATGATTGAATCCTTGATGGTAATAAATTCAAATTTTGTTGGTTATCAGCAATTATATTGTAAAGTAAAAGGTTATTCCAAAATAACTCTGGAAAAAGCTTTTGATATGGAAAAATTTTAGAGCAAAAATCCTCTTTAGAAATATCTTGGAATCTTATTAAGGGAACAAATTCTTTTAATGTGTTACCCATATCAACAAAATTTTGTGGTGACCAATTTTTAACTTCACTGTTATTGATTTCTGGATGTCTTGCCAATCCCCAATTAAGAATATTTTCCCAAACAACTATTTCATCAATGTAAAAATCATCCCTTTTAAGAAGTTCCAATAAAGCTGGTTTTTCAAATAATTTAAATTCACTTGACTGAAATAATTCTTCACTAAACTCGCAAATTTTTTTTAGAAAGATGTTTTTCAATTCAATAAATTGATTGTTGGAATAAATGGATTGTAGAATTTTAACTGTATTTTCTTTTATGTAATCCTCATGCTTTTCAATAAAATAGTTCATTGTATAATTGTAGAGTGACTCAAGATCAAGTTCATCAGCTGTAATTAATATTTGCAAAACATCAACTCCAGAATAATTATCTAATTCTATTTTACATGTGTAAAAAAATCTTTAAAATAATTAAATGTTATTATTATAAATTCAATAATTAATTAATCTAATATAATAAATATAATAATAATTTCATTTAACTTACTTGAGAATAGGGTCAAAAGATTTTTCACTAATATTGGCTTTTTCAATAATATAATATCCATCTTTTTTTGTTGCATTAGTTAACGCATTTCTAAAAAATGGACAATGAGCAGATATGATGGATGCATGTGCATGAACTTCTTTAATGTTTGGTTCTACACCAAGATATATTTTTACATCATAAAAATCTTCTGTATTTAATAATCTTTCATTTTCATTGAAATATTTTTCCAAAATTGTTGAATCCATTTAATTTTAATTTATTTTTTAAAAAATTAATGTAAAATGTTTGAATAACGATAAATATACTTTTTTTTTTTTTTTTCTCCCAAGTTGAGGTTTATTTTTATTGAAGTATAATTGTGTAAAATATAATAATAATTAAATAAAAAAATAAAAAAAATTTTTTTTTTTTTTTTGGTGCATGGGACCAACTTGCGACTGATGCTTTCCCTTTTTGGAAATAAACTTGTACTAACCTTGTTAGTAAAAGATTTTCTTGTTGCACGATGTTACCCAGTTATTTGTCACAGACTATCTGTTATTTGTCTCTTGACATTCCGAGTTAAATGCGATAGTAAAGCACCTTCTTTGATTAGCCCTTCTATAGTTTGCAAAATAGCCTCTTTCGCTTGAGTTATTGGTCAACATGTCATAGAACCTATAACAAAATCAATAGAGTCATGTAGTCAACATTGCGGAGTCAGTTAAGCAGAAAACGGAAAAGAAAAATAAATATAAATCACCTGAAATGTCCAAGCATATGAAGAGTGAACGGGCACGACACTCTCCTTCAAACCCAGCTATTAATCACTTCTTTAGGAACTTTGAGATAAATTACAGTTTTTCCTTCAACAACCTTGTGGTATTTGGAATTTGCTTTTGATTCCTAACAAGGGAAGTTTTCAAATCATTATATTGTTATTATAAGAAAACATCAACAAATACCATTTTTTTTTTCACTTGTATGCTCTTCTCTTGGTTGCATATATATATTCTTTTTAGGGTTGTTTAAAGAGAAGTTATCGACAAAATATTTATTTTCTTGTATTTGTGTGTAATAATAAAATTCGAATTTGTCATTAACATCATAATAATAACACCTTTGATAATTTAATTATGACGCCAAATTTAAATTATAGTCGCGAAGAATAGACTGCACTATACAGCATTTCAAATATTTATAAGTTATTAATTAATAAAGGCGAAAATTACATAACCCATTAAATAATCAGATGGATTGATCGATTTATTTTAACGCTTTAACTAGTTAGGACTTGTTTTTAACCGGTAATTCAGTCATATGTATTAATATTACATTCAAACCTTGTCACAGCGGAAAACTTTATTCAAAATACGTTGTGACAAGAATTTAATATTAATTATCAAAATTTTGTGATCATCCAGATTTGCTCTTGGCAAATGTGGAATGAAAAGATACTTTGATGGAATATGCTCTAGTGGAGGTAACTAAACTGCCCTTAATTGCAAATGATTTAAATTTGTAGTAATTTATTTATAATGAGTGCCTAGGTACAAACTTCACAGCTGTTTTTGAATCAGTCGCCAGAAGTCTTGATGGGAATTAAAAATGATGTAGCTATTACTATAATATTTTTTTTGCTGATGGAAATTCGTCGTGAGGTAAAAAATAAATTGGAAGCTGCTTTAAAAGGAACTTCATATACGACTGAGGTTCAACTCCATTGGGTTTAAAAAAAACCATGATGCAGGAAAGTGTTCATTTAGGCACAAAATTCTATCTGATTATTAAATTAAAAACAAAATATTGTCCTCAAATATATTGGATCTGTTGCTTGCAGCCGTAAAGCTTGAGATTGAAGAAGTTATCAATTACTTGCAACTGCAACTCACATCTGATATCGTGAGTGGTTATGCAAAAACTTCAGATGGTAGCTAATGCGTGTAAAAACCATAATTTTAGTAATTATAAATGAATGTTGCATCAATAATATTATTGAAGAAACTTGGGAAAGGTTTTATTAGGAGATTATGTAAATGTTGAAATTGAAAATTTTTCATAAAAGATTGGAAAAACTTAAAACGGATGAACTTGAGATTTGGATAGAGTTTTGAAATGTTGTTATTTGGCCAAACATCCTTTGATAAATTCAGATCCTAAAAGGCTGGACTTCTAAAGAAGTTGAAGAGCTTCTTCCAATGATCAAGTTTTTTAAATTTCCAAAGAACATTTTTTTAAAAGCGTATATTCGTACAAGAAGACTTTTCCCAAAGAGCTAGTTGATGACTTGGTTTATTATCATTCAATACTCGGATAAACCAATTTGTAAGTATTATCAAATGAAAATGGATAGTAGATAGAATTACTAGTTTTTTCAAGTATTTGGGATTTGTAATATTAGTTGGGTACTAAATATTGTCATCAAATAAACTCTAATAATACTCATAATTTTAAAAATAATAAATGCAATAATTATACGCACGTGATTGATTAATTATGGCATTGAATCATCATTAAGATGGTGGTGGCGGATCTTGTTATTTAAAAGTATTAAAATGGTTTCGCCTTTGTAACTTAATTTCGTCGTCATTTATTTATTATTATTTATTTAATTCTTTGAGCGTCCTAATTTGGTAAATCCCATTCATAACTATACATAGAATGTCATTTATATAACGAATCTATGCAACACATTCAATTTTAGAGTTTTTTGTATATACAAATTATTGCAGTACAAACATTAATACAACCAATGAACGAATGATCCGATTGTTCGGAATTGTCAGAATGCTGAATCCTCTCTGATCATTGCTTGATTCAATAAATTTTAATATTTTTAATATTTATCATGATTGGAAAAAACGTGTTTTTTTTTTTTATAAATTTGCTTTTTTGCAACATATGTTTTTTTTAATCAATCCATAAATATATGTGAATATGTGAATTTGTTTGAACTTGTTTGTATGTATCTGGCCTATTTTCTGGTAAATTCTGGAAATTTTAACGACTTCTCGATTTTTTGATTGATATGATGTTGATGATGTAAAATCCCAATCAAAAAATCACAATTAAAAATCATTTCCATATATTTTTATATATATAAAAGGTTATTTTTTCCCAAACTTATAAAAAAATAGGTAGCTAAGCACGCACATGGTATTTATTAAGTTAGTACTCAATTTAGATTGATAAAAAAAACAATTACTTTAGTAGTTAGTTAATCTTTTTTTTTTTTCAAAAAAAAATTACAAAAAAAACTAATTAAACAATACTAATAATTTTTTTATCCCCCTGCCCTAATAAAAATTCCTTTCTTCTCAAAAATCCTTTTTTTCGAACATAATAAATTTTTTTAGTTATCAATAATAATATTATTAAATTAAGTAAAGAAAAAAAATATGAATCCAAGAGCCTTTAGGCCGAATAAAAAACCAACTGCTGTTTTCAGACCTTGGAATGCAGCAACTTTGGGAGTTTGCCAAGATCCACATGTATGTATGATGCACACATTCGCGAAGAAATAAAGAAAAACAATATCCTTTAAATTATATGTGTTATATTCATTTATTATATTTACATGTTTTCATTCATTTTATATTAAAAGGCTTTGACCTTGGATGAGAAAAAACCATTTGTCAATAATAGATATGCGAAATATAATCTTGTTAATGATAATAGTAACAAAGTTGCACCTACTAGATCCAATACATTTCCACCACTATCCTCTACCACCACCACAACCACCACCACAACCTCATCCGCCTCATCATCATTAACTAGCAACAATGATAAAAATAATAATCCATATCTTAATAGACCTTCAAGAAGTAACACAGTTTCATCTTTTACTTCAACTACTACTTCTGTTGCTTCTACTACAAGTAAGGAGCCAACAACGACGACAACAACAACAATTGATAAAGATGATGATGGTTGGGGCAGTGGTGGTAGTACTACAGTTGAAATTGACCAAAATAAAAATGATGATGATTATTGGAGTGTTAAGGCTGAAATTACTGCTACTAACCAGAATAACGATGATTGGAATGTGAAGAATAATGAAGAGAGCAATGGAGGCTGGAATGTAAATAATAGTGAGGAAAATATTGAAAAGAATGAAGGTTGGAATATGAAGAACAATGAAGAGAATGGTCAAGATTGGAATAGTATAATTGAAAACGCTAGTGAAAAAAATGAAAGTTCAAGTGAAAATACTAATGAGAAGCGTGAATGTTGGAATGAAAATAGTGATGGGAGGAATGAATGTTGGAATGGAAATAATAATGGGAAGGGTGAAGAAGGTTCGAATAACACGGTTGAAAACACTAATTGGAGTGACAATCAAAAATATGTAGAAGGTTATAATAGTACCGTTGAAGCTGCTAATTTTAATAATAACGATGACTACTGGGGAAGTGAAGAAAATCAGTTAGAAAACAGCGAAAATAATAATAGTATTAGTGAGAAGAATAATGAAGATGATTATTGGGGAAGTGAAGTACAAGATAATCAAGATAATAATAGTGATAATGTTGGTTATTGGAATGGTACAAGTGAAAACGAGATTAGTAAAGAAAATAATAATGATAATTGGAATGTTGGGAGAAATAAGGAAGATACAGTTTCAATCCCTATTCCAATTACTACCATTTCAGCTACAACTTCATCAAAACAAGAATGTCCTAATGTTAATAATGATTTTGATCGATCACTAATCAAAAAATTAAATGCCATATCAACAACTGATCAGAAACATAATGATGGAAAAGAATCCAATAGTCATAATTTTAATCAAAAGATTATAACCAATATTAATAATATTATTTCCAATAATAGTTCTCAGAAAGTTCGAGGTGGTGGTGAACCTAGGGAAATTTTGGTTAAACTTAGTAACATCAACAACAACATCGCCAATAACACTAACACAGCTATTGATACCACCAGTAGTACAAATGGTAAAAAATTTCCAATTTTTGTTTTCATTAATGACAAATTTAAGGAAGAAAAAGAAATAAAATCAGTTATAACACCTCATCCTCATACTTCTTCCTCTCCTTCTTCCTCTCCTTCTTCACCTTCTTATTCATCTTACTCTTCCTCCTCGTCAGTATTATCATTATCACCTAAACAATCAGAACAAAAATTGCTTGATCTTAGTGACGATGAAGACAATAATTCACCAGCTGTAAACAATAATAATAAGAAGGAAACAACTATTGACACAGCTGCTGCAAAAAAAAGGAGATCGGCGGATTTTAAGATAATCGATGTGGAGGGTTTCTTAAAACAAGACTTAGAAGAAGAATTAAAAAAGATGATGGTTGATTTAATGAGTCAAAATTCCACTTCTTCTACCAGTAGCAATCATAATACAACAGCCCAGGTATTATTATTATAAGATAACTTTCTTTGTATTATTATTACAATTATTAGTGTGGTATAATTTTTATTATGCACTTTCTGATTTATTATTTCTATTATTATATTATCATACTATGAATTTTTGTTGGTTTTAAATCAACAGTCATTGAATAATCAATCATTGGATGAACTATTGCAATGATAAATGAAGGAGATGTTTATTACATAATTAACTGTTTCCAGATGGGATTAATTGAAAAATGAATATGTTTATAAATTTATATCAATTATCTACATTTTTCAAAAACAAAATTATTATTAATATTAACTGACGTTATAATTTGTAAATTGTTTTTCTTTATTTTTTATTAATAAAAAAAATGTCGTATTTTAGCAAATATATTACTATTATTATTACTATTTATTATTATGCAATGTGAATTTTTAATAATAACCGATCACTCCCTGTTTTGAACGTGTGCCACACTTTTTTGTTTAGAGACTACTGGGGTTATCATCATAAATAAAAAAATATTGAATCGATCGATCAATCGATCAATTGCAAACAAAATATGGATTATATAAATATTTGCAGATTCCTGTTTAACCTGTTCGCTTAGTACTCATTACATATGCACTGATTTTGTTTGAACCCCAAAATCCAGTACGGTATTGATCATAACGTTATGAATATTTTATACTAGCAAAACCATTGGTTTTTAGGTGGGGCCATCGGTTTGACGGGCTATCGAATAGTAAAATAGTTTTTTTTAGCGGAGCAAATAAATTGTTTGGGGTTAATTATCATTCTATTAACCAGTTTACACATCATGTTTAGCGTGTTTTAACGTCGAGACACTATAAGATATATATAAGGTTTGAAAAAAGGGTCCAAAAAACCGAATCAGCTGATATGATTACATAGAAAATTGACTGTTGTTAATAAACAAATATCTGAATTATCCCAATTCCATTATGAATCGAATAATTTTTTTCTTACACCAATAATAGATTTTTTAGTAAACGAATATAATATTTTTGAGTTGAAAAGGTTTAAAACCATTTTTAACAACATTTTTTAACGGTATTTTTGCTCGAGTAAAAAAAGAATGTCACCACTATGGATTATAACCATGGCCAATTGAATGGATAATTACATTCTTCCACTTCGAAACTTTGCGATTCTAAAAGTTTGTTTATTCTAATTAGATTATGAGCAATATCTGGAAACCCTATTTGTCAGTGTGTCCTTTAGCAAAAAGAAATTCGATATTAAAGGATTCAAAACGCACACATGAGATTGAACTTAAAATTTCTACACCAGACAGGAAATCTGTGTGTGCAATAGGTCAAATGCTCAGCCTTTTGGAATATGAAGACTGTGTTTTTATTACCGACATATCTTCCGCTATTAATGATGATGTGGTTTATGAGACTGCCTTTGGATTTCGTCCTCCATTTGCAGTAAAATTTCAAATTTTGCGGGAAAAAAAATTTAAAAAAAAAAATAACGTGTTTTTTTTGCAAAGTTGGCATTATCTTTTTGATAATTTGACTTCAAGAATTACTAGAAGTACTTTTCAGTATTTGTGTGTAGTGAGTGATGGGCACAAAAATTATCATTAAGATGATCAAATTATTAGGTAGTTAATAACTCTATTAGTTACTTAAAAAATACAAACCTGAAGAACTTTTATGGGCAATAAATTTTTTTGCAAAATAACAATAGGGCTTTCAAATTAGGAAAGACTTGGCCTGTATATAGGTTAATAACTCTTTCTCAGAATGAAATAGTTAATAAATGGTTAATAACTAATTAATAACTTGGAGTTATTAAGTGTATGGTTAAAAATTCCATCACTATTTGTGTGAAGAATTTATTCCTAGATATGATTTTTTTTAAAAACTATAAAAAAAAAAAGGATATTAATAGCATTTTAGAAACAAACACACTGGTATACCAATGATTACATTTGTTACATTTTTTTAGCTTCATGAGTACTATTATTTATTCTTCCTCATCTGAGGAGGAGGAGGAGGAAGAATAAGAGGAAGAGGAATCATTTATTTCAGAATATTTGGCAAGCAAAGAAATGCATAATAAAAGTAATTTAATTTTCACTTCAATTCCCATTTCAGATATTTTCAAGGTTGTATGAATCGAAAATTTAATTTCCGAGTATATATGAGGATAAATTTATAATATAATTTCTGAGGATGCTCAACATTATACAAAATAAATCAAAAATGTTTTTTGAGATGAGAAATGTATCAACGGCAAATTTTCGATTTTTAACATGACTAGTTATTTTTGATTATTTCTACAATCTACATCCTCACTCAAAAATGGAGACCTGCATCAAGAAGTCATGATCCCAACACAAAAATTATTGTTGAGAAAATATACGCGAAAAGATTGACGGAGGATTTGATAGCCTTCTGCATACTGTGCTAAACTGCGAAAATTGTAACACAGACTGGAATAGAGATGTCAAAGCCTCAGAAATCTTTATCATACGCAACTTATGCAGCAATTGAAAACAGACGGTCAGATATTTTCACTCAACCATTGGCTGGCTTAACTCTAGTCAAGCACCTTTCTACTTGTTATCAACCGTTTTTGATCAACATTCGTTTATTATTCGAATTATTATCATTCATTTATTATTCCTCATTACAAATTCACAGGAGTGATGCCCGGTTGCAAATTAAGCAGAAAGACAAGGAATTTGTGGACCCATTTATGGGCCCTTTTTGATTTTATAGGTATTGTAAGAGTAGTCCCCGCAAATATTGTCAAAACTTTAAGTGTGATACTAATCCAAATCCTGTGATGATAGCATAACATCCTATTTAGATTTAGGCGTTAGAATCACTACTTCGTATGCATACAATTGAAACGATCCTTAATTTCATTAACGCCTCCCGTGATCTCAATAAAGGCCACGGAACTTTTTTTATTTGGAGTATCTTTTCAAAATTATCAAAATGGAAAACTAACATAACAGTATATGAAGGAGGAGGTCAACTAATATTAGCTTACCGTGTCGTAAACATTATCAACCATTTTAATTTTTTGAATGATCAATTGATTTGTAGAGTTCATTTAATATTTTTGAGAATGAAATAATAAAATTACCATAGATTTTGATATTGCATAGAATCCAAGAATAAGTTGGTCAGATTTATTCAAATATAAAAGAAATAAAAAATTGTTAATATTTAACATTATCTTATTTAAATAAGCCAACAATTACTGTATCTAATAGACTGTTTGAGCCGACAGATCAGCGCTGTCTCTTCCATGTGTTCCATTTAGCTGCTAATCCTAAGAAAAACACGCCTCACTAGGATATATATTAAGTTATGGAGAACTATCACAAAGACATCAAAATTGTTTCCACAAGGGACTAATCATTATTATTGGCAATAATAATGTTGTTGCTGTTAATTTTTTTTTTTTTTCGAGTTTATTTTCATACGTTTCATACGTTTATTATGCCAAAAATTATTTTAGTATAAATCACATATTTATCCATGGATAATTGCTCAAGCGCTAGAATAACGTACATTACGTTACAATACACATGGGGCGTATTTAAATATTCTTTATTTTTATTATAATTTACTTTACAAGCTTTAACTTTGTTACTGAGCAACCGTGGATTTCCAGAAGAATTATACAAATCTTTGAATTATTTGAGATGTAATATTCAAAACTTTTGTTCATAATACCTGGATAAACACAAAAGGCATGTTTCTCTTTTATTAAAAACCTTATGTAATAACTTTATTTTTACCATTAAAAGAAAACTATTGATTTATTTTTTATATAAAGACCAAATTTTTTTGTTTAATTTGTAAATTCATGATGTTGTAGTTAATAAATACGCACTTATTCTTGAAATATAAATTAGAAAATTAATCATTCATAAATATGGTAATTGTGCTCTATATTCAATACTGGATCTGGCAAGGATATATTTTTTATTTATTTCTGGTTTAGTATTAGTTTGCCGAATTTTAAATCAATTGTGTGTTTCGCTCTTGGTCAATTTCGAAGTTGAATTCACTCTATGAAAAATGGCATTTTGAAGTGTGCATTTAGCATATTTATATATTTTCGGGTGCGAAACGTTTCTCATGCGTTGTTCATTTTTCATAAAACTTGATGCTTCCTTTGGATAATGTAAACCACGTATTATGCAAACGTCGCAATTATATCTGATTATTAATTTATTTCTACACTTTTCCATTTTTTGATATGGAATAACAGTAATAAATGAACCATAAAAGTGGGCATATTGATTGATTTCAATTAAGAAACACAAGTATCTGTTTTTCCATGTACTGTATGAACTATTTTGTTTTTCTTTCTATAAAAAAGATTTGAAATGTTGCGTGGCCTTTATTAACATCATTACGTTAAACAATCACGTGCTTTAGAAAGGTTTTGAAAAGGAACTCGAAGCTCTTTCTTATACTTATTAGATTCTTCTATGGTAGAATCGAGTACTGCAATTGATTCAAAAGTTGAGCCGTCAGTTAACCCGACAAATTATCGTCTTTTAAGATATATTTTATAACCAAAAGTCATCAGAAAGTTATGCTTAACCACAGCTTTCTTGTTTACAAAATAGTTATCTATCTGTCGAGTACCATATCAACGAAATAGAAGTTAAAAATCGAAAAACTTTTCAAATAATAATAATAATAATGTATCTAGGATATAAGGTATAAGAATATAAGATAAAATTTAACATTATTCAGGCCTACTATTACGAAAAAAACTCTCGAGAAAATAAAAAAATTACTGCTAATCAATAGCATAAAATAAATATTATTATCAGAGTCCAATGTTGTATGATTTTTCAAGTTCATAATAATGATTAAGTGCATCATTCCCAACCCATTGGTTTAAAGATGAGATTGCAGTATTGTCGTATCTCAAAACATGATGAGGCTAATTTCAGTGACATATTTTTCCGAGTGGAATGAGTTTCTTACGTAGCATTTAATGATATGCGTGGGACAATGTGTAAGAGTGTACTAAATTTTTCCATTAACTGCTGAAATAATATCGTCCAAATGTAATCTAGAAGATTAGTTGATTTAATAAACTTTTGTAAGGATGGATACTGCGTTGGAAATACAATATTGCCCACTATGTATCATGAAATACAGTAGTTATTATCCTTTAGTTAGTATATAAGTCATAATCAACACCAGTTTTCGTAGAATTTATCTAATTATTTATTTAATCGCATCACAAAAAATTAATTTTATTTTTTAAAATAAATCTAAAAAGTCTAATTAAAAAAATATTATTGATTATTAATTTTTTTAAATAATATTTTTAGAAAAATAGTAAAGCACCAATGAAACTAGCAAAAATAATAACAAATCCGGTTTGCTTATGAGTAGAGGAGGCACCAGAAGTATTTATTTGCGATGTTGGTGTTGAAGCTGCTGCGTCTGTTGGACTTGTCGGTGTTTCCGATCCACTTGACAATGGTGATGATGTTGTCGGTTGAGGAGCCTGCTGTGGCCTAGTAGGTGATTGTTTATAAAAATTTGTAAATTCATTAGAAATCAGTTTTATTCTTTTTTAACAGGAAAAGAAATTTTTTATTATTATAATTGTTATTTAATTACTAACATATATGATGATGGTAATGATGGCGTGTTAATTATCTCAGGCCTTTTAGGACAAGAACATAATGGATAAAGATAAAGATAAAAAGATGTTAATATTAATAATTAGTTAATCGTAGATTAAATAATCAATAAAAACAATTTCCTTCACTTACTGAGTCTTCTGGGCATAGGAAAATGTTGCAAAGACTGAGATAATGATGAGAAGAATAGTCAATTGTTGGGTAAACTTCATTTTTATTTTATTCTAATAATTTTTTTTTTTTGTAAATTATATATAAATGCTTGTATATATGTATTTAGAAATTTAATTTTTAGAGAATGAAGGGAATTTTTACGTCTATTTATATTAAAAAAAACCCCCACTTAATTAAAAAATACGCGTTTCTTTTTTTCGTATAATACTAATACTAATTCTTATTTGTCAATTTAATTAATTAAAAAATTTAATCTAACTCATAATAGTATAATCAACTTTCATAGTAAAATAAACAAACTCCGTTTTGGGAAATTGCTTAATATGAGTCTGAAAATCATTCATTAATCTAATACTAATAATAACAGTAAACAAATCCGATTAAAATCGAGTTGTTCACAATAAAGTTTATTATATATGAATTTTAATGGCAAAACAAACTCTCGGTGCCAGATTTTAAAACGGGTTTAATTATTTATATTTGTTCAAAAACTAGATTTGTGTATTATAAATAATATATTCTTTTCAAAGTGAACCATATTTTTATTAGTTTTTGTATTTTTCTTGGCTAAAATTTTTATTTTAAGAAAAATGACGATATTTAATATAAATATTGTCCGTTTTTAGAAACAATTTTATTATATCTTTATTAAAGATCGAAATTTTCTAGAAACTTCTAAAGGTTTATAATATTTTAAATACTATATGAATATTCCAATATACATCAGGCCACCAAATGTCAATGTTAATGATGTTTTTGTGCAAAGATATTTAAAGCAATAGTTATTGTAAATTTGTCATCTACGCAACGTATAATATCCGGATCGAGAACTATGTCCGTAAAAAGTGGAATAAGGGTGTGCCAAGAGTTTTAAAGATTCCCAATAGTTTTACAGCTTTTTTTAAATTTACTTTTTGCAATAAACCTTTTTTAATCATGAAACACCAGTTTGTCATCAGATGTTACGATTCGTTAATTATAAACTTTTAATCCTTTGAAGTATTATATTAGAAAATCTTGTACCAAGAAAGATCATTTGAATTGTTAAAATTTCACAGTAAACCAAAATTTCCAGCGCACGTTTTGCACATGGATTTTACACACTCTTCTGATTCTGTAATTGTTAATCAATATCATGAAGCTTTCAGGTAATTTTCACAGCAGGACATCAATTAAAACAAATTAATCATTAACATTTGATTTTTTAGAGTCAACGAAAATATTAGAACATGACTTAAATAATTGAATAAATGTTATTAATAAATAAATAATTGACGAACAATCAATTAAAAAAAAGTCGAATAACAACTCTACAAGAACAATAATTTATTTATACGCTACTTAAAAGCATTTATTAAAAAATTAAAATGTGAACATCAGGAATTTTACCACAATTGAAAGATGATAAAGGCGAGAGTAAGAACTAAAGGTAAAAAGAGATGAAATTGACTAATTAATGAATGAAATACTTACTGAGCACAAGCAAATATTATAAAGGCTGGGGATTTTTGAATCCTCGCTTTTAATAAAATAAAACTTATAATTTTTTCTTGGTGTTGGCGAGAAGCGATAATAATTCTATTTTATATACATGTCCTATTAATTGTTTTTAATACAACACAATTTGATGAAGGTCATCAGACCATTTACACAAACTCGGCTATTTACATGTAAATCAAAGTATTTAAAAGTAATATGTTGGATAATTCTTCGGCTATTACTATTTTATCAGTAGTTGTTTGCTTCTTTAATCATGCACGCGATCAATAATTTTATTGTCCCTTCGCAATTACACATGCGGCAGAAATTGGTTTCTTGATGTCATTTTAATGTTAAAAGTAATTAAGGCACTGTTAAAAATTCATCTGATGTTATTAACACTCACTTAAACCGACGTTCAATCATTTTATTACTCTGTTGTATACATAATAGATTTGTAAATACCTTTAAAAAAATTTTTAATTTAAAAAAAAAGTATGTATATTAGCCATAATAAATACATAATAATTATTTTTTGTAATTTAATTATTTTTTATCAATTATTTGAAATACTTCTAATTCATCATATTTGCTATTATTCACTATATTAATGTTATTATAATTACTACTAATACTACCAATAGTACCCCCAATTTGAAAAATAATATCACAACCATTACCACCAAAAGCAGTTAAATATGAAGGACCACAGTAAACTGCATTTTGATGATTATGAATAACATAACTAAACTGTGCGGAATTAATATCATTTCTATTATTAATATTAAAAATAAAACTTTCAGTTGTAGGTTTATTTGTATAATTTCCATTATTTAAATTCCAATCAAGTGGATTATAACCTCCTACTAATTGATCTGAACTTTGTATTTTGCCAACTACAAGGGTTTTGTTGATATTATCACATTTTTGATGGAACATAGCTATGTTTAAACTGTCTCTACTACTACGATATATAAGTTTAAATTCATATTTAACATCTCTGAATGAATTATATCGTGGACTTTTTCTATCAATCCAACTTGCAAAAAGTAAAATAAGATTTTGATTGATTGTCAATGATTCATCCAACAGTTTAAATTTAGGATTTCTTGATGGTAATAAATTGAAAGTCTGTTGATTGTCAGCTATTATATAATAAAGTAAAAGGTCATTCCAAAATGGCTCTGGAAAAAGCTTCTGATATGGAACAATTTTAAAACCAAAATCCTCTTTAGAAATATCCTGAAATCTTATTAAAGAAAGAAACTCTTTTAATGTGTTGCCTAAATCAGCAAAATTTTGTGATGACCAATCTTTGATATTGATATTATTGATTTCTGGATGTTTTGCCAATCCCCATTTAAGAACATTCTCCCAAACAATCATCTCATTAATGGAAAAATCATCTTTTTTGAGAATCTCCAATAGAATTGGTTTTTCTAACAATTCAAATTCACTTGATTCAAATAATTTGTCACTATAATTACAAAACTTTTCTAAATAGATATTTTTCAATTCATTAAATTTTTCATTGGCATAAATCAATTGTAAAATTTTAACTGGATTTTCTTTTATATAATCTTCATGATTTTTAATAAAGTGTTTCATCATATATTCATAAAGTAACTCAATACCAAGTTGATCTGCTGCAATTATTAGTTCTAATAATTCAGCTCCAGAATAATTTTCAATTTCAATTTCACATGTGTATAAAAATCTTTCAATATGAATAAATTATATAAATTATTAAGAGATTATTATATATTCAATAAATAAATAATAAATAAATAAATAAATAAATAATAAATTTATTTAAACTTACTTGAGAATAGGCTTAAAACATTTTTCACTAATATTAGCTTCCTTGACAATATAATATCCATTTTCTTTTGTTGCATCATTTAATACATTGTTAAAAAATGGACAATGAGCAGATATGATGGATGCATGTGCATGAACTTCTTTAATGTTTGGTTCTACACCAAGATATATTTTTACATCATAAAAATTTTCTGTATTTAATAATCTTTCATTTTCATTGAAATATTTTTCCAAAATTGTTGAATCCATTTATTTTTTTAAAAAAACTGAATGACCAATCAGGTGTTACGTTCATATATTTTTTTAGGTGTGCAATTATAACTTTCCTTTTTTATGTAAAAAAATTTTTTTTGTTAAACATATAAAAATTATAAAACGAAAATGGTAGTTTTGGAGAATGAATGATGCCTAGAAATTACTAATACTAATACAATAGCATATGTAATAGTAATTTGCTGTTATTTAAATTTTTTAAAACGTCAAAAATAAAAAATGCAGAATTAACAATAGTTGAAGGAGAATCTCCAATGTACTAAAAACTCCATATAACACTAATAACCTATTATTCTAATGATGCTAAAAGTGCTAGAGATGTTCCGATGCGCATGTAGCTTTTGGAAATCATGCATTTGCAAAATTGGAGGGATAAAAAGTAAAAATTAAATATACAAAAAATTTATTCCTACATAATGCTGTAATAACCACTAAAAATTGCATTTCGAAAGTTGGGAAACCTTCTTTGTTACATATAAAAATGTGCAAGACGCAATGTAATTATGAATTATATGAATCAAATGGAAGATGCGAAGGACATTCGAGAAGATTCCAGCTCAAGTTTTACAACTTTTTCTTAATACAAATAATAATAATAGAGTTTGGATCCGTAAACCAACCTGAAAACAGATAATATTAATTATTATGATATAGCAATAAGAAAATGAGGATTGAAACTGGTCCCTATAATTGTGCAATTTTCTAAGCAATGGAAAAATAACTCTTTTAACATTAATATGAAAACATATAAATAGAGCACTTGTGGACCACAAAATTTGCATCACTAAAGTTTTGTTTATAATTGTCCAAAAAATTCTAAATCTGTTTTGAATCCGGTTCCAAACCCACACTTCATCATCATCATCATCATTATTAAAATAAATTCTAAAAAAAAATTTATTTTAATCAAAAAAATGGTCAAAAGATCCAAACAAAAATTTTTATGAACTGATATTGGAAGTGCATTCTCGTCTTGCGTTATGCGTAATAATACCTAACATACATGTGATAATTCTCGTCGGTTGATAAATGATTTTGATTTCACAGGGTATGATTATTACAATAATTAAATTAGTAAGAGTAATAGTAATAGTAATAGTAATAGTAATAGTAACAATTTTAAATGATTATTTTGGAAATGAATACCTCCGCAGGAGCATTTTATACGAAACTTTATCTTCAAATCACAATTGATGAAAAGTTATTTATTTGCCTTTCATCAATCATTGAAAAAACGAAAAATGACTGATAATAACGTTTACTCGACTTCTTTCTCTCATGAAGTTGAAACATTACTATCGACCGCTTGTAAAGATCAAAGACTGCAAAGGCTTATCAATCAGCAGTCTTATAAAATGCTCTTCTTACATAATGAATTGAAGGCGAGAAATTATGTGTAAAACGTTATCGTTTTATTTGTAATATACACATATACAGCACATTAAGGGTTTTTATAAATATTAATATTCTTGTGCATTCTATTTTTTTAAACTATATAGCTTATTTTTTTTTCTCCTATGTAAATGTTCAACTTTTAATAATAAAACTTGACGCCCATCATTTTCTACATCGATCTGCTTCGTTTCCGACAATTTATCCATTATAATATTAATAAAAATCATTTTACTTGACAAATGTCATATAGTGCATATAATAATAATAATAGTTTAATATCAGAAGATAAAATAAACTTTACGTAGAACTTATTGTGGAATGCAATTATACACTGTGTATATATCTTGTGGAGCACCTCAAAAGGCCAAATTTTTATCATCATTAAGATTAACCGAGTTCTTTTTCGATCCGGGTCATAAAAATTAAGTTTACAAGGTTGTATAGTATCTGCGATAACCTATAGCACAGTGTTGAACAGATTGAGATTATTGAGAATTGATCTGCATAATAGTCACATTGGAAAGGACCCCAGGGTACTCAATGGATGTTCTGCGTAACAGATAATACTCGTGATTTCAATTAATTTAAAGTAAAAAAAATAAAAAAAATAAGGATATGAGGAGCAAAAAAACTATATTATCGGTGACGCTTTGTTTTTACATAGATATGTTGTTTGCCGCCTTCTCTGCATATCGGTGACAATAAATCCACAGATCCGCTACTTTCTAGAAGTTATGGAATTTCAAAGTTTAGAAATTGTATAGTTAACACTCTCTATAATGGACATTTGGCTTACTATTATGAAAAAATGCCCATTATAGAGTGAATCTATTATAGAAAGTAATAGTGCTTAAATTTTCTCAATCTGTTATCAAAGAGTGAATGGTAATGTTGAGATACATTTATTCAAATATATTTATTATTATTATTTTATTAATAGTATATTATATTTGATGTTATTAATCCACATCTACTTTAACGCATTCTATATAAAAATTTATTTTATTATTTTAATCTTTTAGATAAAATAAATATTAAAAAGAAAACCCAATTAATTAAGCATTTAGATGAATATATCTTTTCCACGTTAACTTGCACATTCAATTTTATTGGCATATATAGATTACTGCTGATCTTATACACTTGAACAAAAATCAGCGCTATTTACATAACATTGTTTTTTATTACATGCTATCTTATATTTTTAGATGATACATCAAGCTTCAACTAAGGAGTTATCAGATAAATATGAGGCGAAGACTACAATCTTATTGATTGTTTTACACGTTCAAACTATCAAAAATGATTGAACCAATGATCTAACTTAATGAAACATGGCTTATTAGAATAGTATCGTAAAGGTAATATAGTAGTGTTTTAATGTTCATAAAGATATACAGCAAACAAAAATATCTCACTAACTAATGATTCGAATTTTATGAATTAGACACCTATTGAGAAAATTCAAATGGTGATTGTTTATATCCAAAACAGCCAGATATGACTGAATTATGGTAATTTCAGTTAATTTGATACGTTTTTTCTCATGATATGTATTACTTTATTAATAGCAATAAAAAATTATAATTAGTAAAAATTCCGTATACTTTATAATAATCATTCCATAGCAATAAAAATTATAATTCATACAGAATTTCTGTATGCAAATTTTCTAGGGATTGAGTATGCTTCTTTCTTACATTGTATGTCTCTTTCTTACATTGAGTATGTTTATTCTGTATATTGAATACGTTTACCCCTTACAATAAATATGTTTTTTAGTACAATCCCATTCATTATTTATAAAATTTATAGGTTTTTTATCCCATGTACGTAAAAATACATTTTTCCTTACATTACATAAACTTTTATGGAAAATCTTACGTACATTATTAAAGGATCATTCCTTACAAATAAATATTACAAAATGTAAAGAACTTCCGTACATAAATTTTCTATAGGGTGATGTTGTTAAACATGACATGATTTTGAACCTGGATCAGTACCTGAAGTGATTTCTGAAACTAGTGGTAATGATAGTTAATGTTAATTAATTAATCAACTTAATTTATTAATTATTTTTTTGCTAATAATATTATTTAATTACACTGACAAAGGAAGTGTGACGTAGAAAAGATGGAAACGGTCGATGAAATTAATTAAACTATTTTAAGGATGTTGTTAAATTCAAATCCATGTCAGTTTTAAATTGCCGATGGAAATTCAAAATTAACATAAATTGAATTCAAAGAATAAATAAAACAAAATAATAAAATAAACAAGCAAAGTTCTGATTGAATTTCCTTTGTTTTTAGCAATCGTCTGGACACTTTTAAATATATAAATATATAAATACAATGATCATTTTTACAATAATTACAATTAATTAATAGATTAGACTTACGTGAGTACCAATGTCAGGATAACAATAATCATGACAATCTATTTGATCAAAAGTCCAATGAAAAACGTTGCCATGAAGATGGAAACATGCAGTGTCACTGGCTTCGATGTATCGGTTATTACCCCCGATGTGACCCTGAACTATCATGTGAGTACAATATGTCGTGCCGTCTGGTAAATCATGACTCGATGCTCTACAAAATGCATAGTTAGTAGAGCAATCTTTCATTCCATCGTCCGCTAAAACATGACCATTACAATCAGTTATATAAGTATGACATCTCGTTCCCGCTTCAATGGTAGAAGTTACATTCGTATGGAGTGCTATACATTATTTACATCAAAGCAAACCGGTAAAGTCATTAGCATAGATAATTATCAAATCTTTGCTACCCATGTTCGAAACTTTACCTTCAGCTATGTTAGCTACTATGCAAAAAATTATGGAGATGGTAAGGATGAAGGAGATACTATATTTCATTGTGAGTGTTATTGGCTAGAATTAGACAAAATATCGTTTTCTCGGTATGAAATACAAAAGAGTATGTTTTTCAGACTGATTAATTCCTCAAGTCATGTGTATTTATAAGGAATTTACTTTATGCATGATTAATATTCATTTAGAGGGGTTTACTCAATAAATCTCATGAATGCGATCATTACTTGGTCGATATTCAGCCAAAGCCGAAGGGAATTTGAAATTCAGACCAATAAATCTCATAAATGGAAATCACTACTTGGTCTATATTCAGCCAAAGCCGAAGGGAATTTGAAATTCAAACTGATTAAAATTAATTTTTCTTATGGACTGTCAAATATTTGCGCGTGATTTGTAACTTTTTTGACTGTCAAAAAAATTAATTAATAATAATTTACACATGTTATCGAAATGCGAAATTTATCTGTTTTTATTTTTATTTATTTAATTTTATTTATTGATAGAACACCATATAGAAATGCATGATCCCGATGAAATTATTCTAACAATTCTACCGTAATTACCATGACTCATGTATGAAGTTTTTTAATTTACACGACGGCTTACTTTAACAGTAACATGACTTTTTACATGATTTTGTCCAATAAAATAAAATAAAATAAAACAGAATGATAAATGAGGACTAATTGATAATTACTAAAATGTCAAAAATAAGTCATACCTGATCAGTCGTGGGACATTGCGGGTGAAGTGTCATTCACTAATAAAATTGTTTTTTAAAAAAATCACGCTTTCATACATAAACTTGCTTGATTTAATCAAATTGTTATTTGAATCATAAAAAAATAACAAATATATGAAAAAACCTTTATTTTGATGTATTTTTTGCCAGGGTAAACAAATACCACTAAACGACAATCTTGACACGAAGTTGGACTATCAGTTCTATAAGTTCTATAATAATAATAATAAATTAAGAAATTGAATAACATGCAAAGGTTGAACGATCTGACGATCTGACAGTGTACAATCCGTTACGCAATCATATTTTATTTATTACTAATTATTTATTTTTAGAAAATATAAATTATTTGTAAAATTCAGCATCAAAATATTCTAATTAATGTTCCCGTAATAACAATATACCATTAATAATAAACTATTAAAAGGATATGTATGCAATGTTGCACCAACTATTAACTATTTATTTTTTTTTATTTTTTTTCAAGAAAAAAAATGGATGTACGATCAGAACGATTGTTACGCATAATTATTATTATCGTTTATTATTTATTATAATAATCTTTCGATGGATAATTGGGGTGTGCGACATTCTAAGAAAATCAAAACTAATATTGATTGGTACACAGTGAGTCTCGGTATAACGGATATGTTTGTTCCAGGAAATTTATCCGCTAGTCATCCGTAATACAGTCAAGTATTTTACCAAATTTGGAAATACTAAATGCCGTAATGATCGATGGTATGAAAAATTCTAGAAGAAAT